ATCAAGAAAATGCCCCCCAACCCTGTAAACACACACACACACACACACACACACACACACACATACACAGAGTACTGGATAGTTATATGTCAACTTGATACAAGGTAGAGTCATCTAAAAGGAAGGAACCTCAACTGAGAGAAATGCCTTCATAGTTTCCACCTGTAAGCATTTCTTAGTTAGTGATTGATGAGAAGGGCCCAGCCCATTATGGGTGGTTCCATCCTGGTGGTCCTGGGTTCTATAAGAAAGCAATGAGGAGCAAGCCAGTAAGCGGCACCCTCCATGGACTCAGCATCAGCTCCTGCCTTCAGGTTCCTGCCCTGTTAGAGTTCCTGACCTGAATTTCCTCAGTGATGGACTGTAATCTGGAAGTTCACACTGAAATAAACCCTTTCCTCCCCAAGACATTTGGCCAAGGTGTTTCATCACCACAGTGGCAACCGTAGGACTCAAACACATCTCCACAGGCCAATCTGAGGGGCAATCCTGCAACTGAGCGTCACTCTTCCCACGTGTCTCTAGGTTTGTGTCACGTTGGCAGCTGGGGCTAACCTCAGTGTGTCGCCCATGCAGCGCTGCTGGCACAGGAGCAGACACCTGGCTTCCAGAGGATGCAGCTGAGCTGGAAGCAAGAGAGCAGCAGTTGTCCACAGAAGGGTGGCAAGAACCCTTGGGCTGAAGTATCCTTTGTCTTGACTGTGGTGGATAAAAAACTTGCGTATGTGATAAAATCATGTAGAATTAAATATACATAAATAAAGACATAAAACAAGAGTACTCAGAACACACTTGGTGGATTGTTTTGCCACCATTTTATGAAAGGATGTTGTACCACAGCTTTGCAAAATCTAGGGAGCTAATCAAAGGCTAAGGAATTTCCCAGATTCTTCCTGGAAACTCTATGTCAATCTGTAATTATCCCAATAAAAATTTTATTTGAAGCGGAGCATGGTACCATGTACCTGTAAACCCAGCACATCAGAGGCAGAAGCAAAGCATCAGAAGTTCAAGGTTGTCTTCAGATGCATAACCAGTTCAAGGCTAGCCTCAGCTACACAGGACACATCTAAAAACAACAACAAATACTTCCATTGTGGGGAAGATGGGATCTTTCTTGTTGTTATTAACCTTTTGTTAAGAAACTAATATTAAGTAGCAAAACAATTGCAATCTGTCTTCAGCAAAGCTAAGTAACAACATTTAGCAATGACAGATACTTCATATCTGCATTGATGCATACAGTGGCCACTGACACATGAATATGACACTTTCACATGACTACTACAAATAAGGCTGAATTTCTTTTTTTAAAGGTTTATTATTTTATGCATATGAGAGCTCTATCTGCATGTACACCTGCACACCAGCAGAGGGCACCAGATCTCACTATAAATGGTTGGGAGCCACCATGTGGGTGCTGGGAGTTGAACTTAGGACCTTTGGAAGAGCAGCTCTTAACACTGAGCCATCTCTCCAGCCCAAATTAATTTCATTAATTTTGACTAAGATTACATTTAAATGGCCACTTGCTGGAAGCTTTCTAGGGTATAGCAGAACAATGGGACTTGAAGTCACATCGTGCTATCTCCCTCAGTGTACAAACTAAAGAAAGCTCACCTCCAACACTGACCCATAGCAGCTTGCTGATCATGGGTTCGTTATTTCATGGTTAAGTGCATATTAAAATATGCATTCTAAATGGCCTGCTAAAACTAAAGCAACGTAAATAATTTAAACACCTCTATAATAAGAAATAAGGTTGAAGTAATAATTTTGAAAAATCTCCCTACTTAAAAAAAAAAGTCCAGGTCTAGATTAATTCACTGGTGAATTATACTAGGCCTTGAACTGACACGCATGTTTCTCAAACTATTTCATGTACTAGAAATGAAAAGAATGCTACCAAACCCTTTTTACAAAGTCAGCATTGCCCTTAAACCAAAGCCAGCTAAAGACAATAACAATAGCAAAAGAAAATTCTGAGCTGACTAGGAAGGAAGAGAACACATCTCCATTTAACAAGGCTACACAGGACAAATCTACAGATTGCATCACACCAAGTGAAGAAAGACTGTATTTTCACTGAGACTGTGTGAAAGACCTTAATATAAGACCTGAGGCGTGGTGACACGCGCCTTTAATCTCAGAACTCTGCAGGCAGAGGCAGATGGATCTCTGTGAGTTTGAGGCTAGCCTCGTCTACAGAGTGAGTTCCCAGACAGCTAGGCTGTTAACAGAAAAACCCTGCCCAGAAAAAAACAATGACAACCAAAAACTGAGACCCTGAAACTAAGAGGAAAAATTAGGACAAATGCTTCAAGACAGAGTCATAGGTCAGGACTCTCTGGTCATTCAGGAGGTTAGGTCAGTGGATAACTGGGACCTGGTGAAATGAAAAGCTTTTGAACAGTGAAGGAGATGGCAGTGGAGTAAGGAGACAGCACACAGAACAGGAGATCTTTTCTTAGTGTGTATCTCACTAAGGATTAATATCTAGAACCATAAAAAAACTCAAGAGCCTAAACAATACGAAATCCAACAACCCAGTCAATAAATAGTGACAGAAAATTCACAGAAAATGAAATACAAATGACTGGGCTGGAGAAATGGCTCAGAGGTTAAGAGAACAGGCTGTACTCCCAAAGATCCTGAGTTCAATACCCAGCAACCACATGGTGGTTCATAACATCTAAAATGAGATCTGGTGCCCTCCTCTGGCATGCAGGCATACATACAGGTAAAATACTGTATAAATAATAACTAAATAAAATATTTTTTAAAAATACAAATGGCCAATAAACATCTAATGTTCACCCTTGTTTGGCATCAGTGAAATGCAAGTTAAAACTGTACTAAGAATCCATCTTACCCTAGTTAGAATTATTAAGGGAACAAATAGAGGCTGGAGAGATGGCTCAGCAGTTAGGAGCACTGGCTGTTCTTACAGGTTCAGTTCCCAGTACCTACGTAGAGACCCGGAACTATCTGTAATTCCAGTTCCAGAGAGTCTGAGGCCCTCTTCTGGCTTCCACTGGCACCAGGCATACACTTGGTGAATACACATACGTGCCAGCAAAACACTCATACACATAAACATAAAATAAACAAAAATTTCTTAAGAAAAACAAGTAACAGCAAGAAGAATCCATAGCTACTGCTGGTGGGCGTGTCACTACTGGCAGCTGTGGACCTGTGGTGGTATTGATGAAAATGGCCCCCAGAGGCTCGGGGAGTGACACTCTGAGGAGGTGTGGCCTTGGAGGCATGCCACTATGGGTGGGATTTGACGTTTCAGATGCTCAAGCCACACCCAGGGACTCTCTCTCTTCCTGCTGCCCACCATTTGGATGCAGAACTCTCAGCTACTCTCCAGCACCATGTCTGCCTGAGTGCTGCCATGCTCCCTGCCACAATGACAGTTAACTAAACATCTAAACCATAAGCCAGCCTCAGTGCAATGTTCTCTCTTGTAAGGGTTGCCATGGTCATGGTGTGTCTTTACAACAATAAAACCCTAAGACAGGAGGCTTCCCCAAAAATAAAAAAGTAATCTATCCTATTACTCTGCTGTGGCAGCCCTGGGTTTCCACCCAGAACACCGAAGGGTGTGTGTGTGTCACTGAAGAGACACTCGCACACCAGTGCTTACTGAGGCCACAGTTTACAGTGCTAAGTTACAGAACCAATCTAGGTACCTAACAGCAGAGGAAGGGATAAAGGTCGCACACACGCAGTGGAAAATTTTCAGCTATAAAGAAAAGTCTTATCGTTTACAGGAAAGTGGATGCAGCTGGAGATAATCCTATTAGGCAGCAAATTAAGCCTCAGAAAGACAAACATCACATGCCTTTTCGAATTTATGGATCCAGGGTTTGGTAGGGACCCATGTGACGTCAAAGCAGAGCAAGGGCACACTAGGGGAGGAAAGTAGTAGTGGGAGCAGGACAGAGGAGGGGTACGGAACATAGGGGAAAATTGCTCAACAGGCAGCAGACAGTAATACAAGCTTTTAAATTAAAACTCAAACAGTGCACCCCACTGCCCTCTAAAGTTCTCTACAGGGGCCGCTCTGCACCTGGAAGCAGCCATTCTGACCTGCAGGGGCAGCGTTAGCCTGCCAGCACCCAGGTGTGAAAACCTGAGGGAACTGAAAAAATGTTTCCAACCATTTAGGGAAACTCTGGCCACGAATCAGCCGGTTTTCTTTCCTGCCAGCAGTGAGCAGCCCTCGGGTCCCCATTCATTCCTTACACCTCATTCTGTACTAGCTGGAAAGACTGACTTCATTTGCAGAGAAATGTTATAAACTCCAGAACAAGGAAAAAAGAAAGAAAAACGGCCAGGCAGCTCCCATTTCTTGAGGCAACAAGGAAAGCTGGGGGCCCCCAGGAGTTCAGGGCAGAGCACAGATGAGAAACTAGCCACATGGCCAACTGGACGGCTCTGCCAGGTGAGCAACCGCCAGGCCGCAAAGCTGTTTTGGCAAAGTCTAGGCTTCGCTTCCTTGGTGTTTCCTTTCCATATCAGCCCAACCGCGATCTTCTAAAAGCCCTAGGTGTGGATGGCTCGCCCGGCCTCTACCGTCTCCCTTGTTTCAACTTTCCATTAACGCATTCCACGTTCTGACTATGACAAACTGCCCAATTTCTCTTGTCGTAAGCTGTCGTAAAACTGAGTCCATGCAGAATGCCAACAAGTGTGCACGGTTGACTAAACACTCACCAATGAAGGCAATGAGCCACTGAGAGACTAGGGTATCTCGCTGCGAGAGACGCCTCACCCTTACAACTCAGACTCGCTGGTCTTGTTTGCTCTGAGCCTCCACTGATTCCTGCCAAGAACACTGCGTAAGATTGCTCCAGTGTCTGGGCTCTGGGCCTAAGGGCCCTCAGGTCTCTGGATGTTCACACAGACATCTCAAGCCCAGCAACATCTTAGAAGCCTGAAGTCGGCTGAGTCCGCTCTTCTGGCAGGTGCCTCTGACTGACCACTGAGCTATGCCGTCCTGCAGCCGCGTGGCGCTGGTGACCGGGGCTAACAAGGGCATCGGCTTCGCCGTCACGCGTGAGCTGTGTCGGAAGTTCTCGGGGGACGTGGTGCTCACGGCGCGGGACGAGGCGCGGGGCCGGGCGGCCGTGCAGCAGCTGCAGGCGGAGGGCCTGAGCCCACGCTTCCACCCGCTGGACATCGACGACCTGCAGAGCATCCGCGCGCTGCGCGACTTTCTGCGCCGGGAGTACGGGGGGCTGGACGTGCTGGTCAACAACGCGGGCATTGGCACCTGGCCCAAGAATAAGCCACCAAGAAACAGAGACTTCTTCAACGAGGCCCAGCCAGGTGGGTCTGCTCTTGGCCTTGAAGTGCAGGGGGACGGATGTGATGGAGGGCACCTCCGGCGTGTGGGGATCACAGCAGGCTCCTGGAGGGGAGCAAGATAAGATGGGAGCTTCAGGAAGGAGAGGGTGAATATTCCAGTCTTATATGGTGCCTGGAGAATTCCCTCTAGGCCTTAAATTGAATGGAGTCTTTATTAACTGCTCCTGGCGGTATCCCAAGCAGATCAGCAGGAAGCAGCCCCAGCCGCCAGTTGGTTTGAGGTTTTTTTTTTTTTAACTTTTTTTTAATTTTTTATTAATTACACTTTATTCATTTTGTCTCCCCTCATAAGCCCCTCCCTCCTCCCCTCCCGACCCCACCCTCCCTCCCCTTTCTGCATGCATGTCCCTCCCTAAATCCACTGATAGGGGAGGTTCTCCTCTCCTTTCTGATCTTAGTCTATCAGTTCTCATCAAAAGTGGCTGCATTGTCCTCTTCTGTGGCCTGGTAAGGCTGCTCCCCCATCAGGGGGAAGTGATCAAAGAGCAGGCCAATCAGATTATGTCAGAGGCAGTCCCTCTTCCCATTACTATGTAACCCACTTGGACACTGAACTGCCATGGGCTACATCTGTGCAGGGGTTCTAGGTTATCTCCATGAATAGTCCTTGGTTGGAGTATGAGGGTTTTTTTCTATTATTATTATTATTAATAATAATAATTACACTTTATTCATTTTGTATCCCCCATAAGCCCCTCCCTCCTCCCCTCCCGAGGAGTATGAGTTTTAAAGGCCAAAAATACAGTTGTGACATAAACAGAAAGCCAGCTCTGGACTGCAAGCGTTGTCTACAGAAGCAGAGAGACAGCAGTTAAAAGGCCTGGCGGTTAACCTATAGCTCGACACGGTATAAGAATTTCAGGCTGGTCCAGACACTAATTTTGCCCAAGGTAGTTTTATCACTTGAAGTATTCTTAGGAATGCATTCATGACATGGCTTGACTATCCTTCACACCAGAGCCTGAGAGATTCCCTCAAGGAGCCTTGCAAGCGCTGATCGGGCCTGAGTCTCGGTCCTTTGCACGTTTATGTCAGTGGATGTCTCTGACTGGACCTTACGGCCAGGTGGGCTTAGTTCTTACTGATTTTGAAGTAAGTAAGAAATAGGGGAAGGTGTCGCAGCTGTAGGAGTGCTTGACTCCGGGGTGAACCGTGGGATACAGCTTTCTCAAAGCAAGTACTGGTCGGTACGTGCTGTAGTTCCTGATCTCTTACAAGAGACGTGACGACCGAGGCGTGATCACAACAGGGAGCGCATAATTGGGAACATACGTTTTTAAGCCCATAATCACCACATAGAGCAGCAGGCAGGCATGGTCCTGCAGCAGTGGCCAAGGGCTTTACATGCTGCTCTGCAGGGAGTCGGCAGAGAGCCTGGGCCTGGGGTGGGCTTTTGAAGCCTCAAAGCCTGCTTCCAGGCACACCTCCAGCAAGGCCTTACCTCAGAGTCCTTCCCAAACAGTCCCGCTCCCTGGTGACCAAGCAATCAAATGTATGAGCCTGTGGGGACCATTCTTATCCAAAACACCACAGTAGGACTTACCTAACTAGACTCCAAGTCCACTGTTATAAAGTAACAGTGATTTATTCACCTGATTTGATTGTTAACTTGGCCTTGAACTCAGAGATCCGCTTGTCTCTGTCTCCTGGAATTAAAAGTATGTCTGTATTGCTGCCGGATCACACAGACCTAGAAGGTCTTTGGGTCTGATCTCTTGCCAGAGCAGCCATGTTCTGAATTAAAATTTCTCTACATCTTTCCTCTTCCTGTTTAAGCCAAAACTGTATACAGTTTAACTTTTACAACAGTGACAACTGTCATCCTCCAAACTCAACAGTCCAAACCTCCTTATGAGAAATCCGTTGGTGTGATGATCCTCTATAACTGCAGGCCCGATCATCTGTCCTTCAGCAACAGTCCATTTCCGCACCAAGGCTTTCCAGTCTGCCTGTCCGATGACTATCTGTCCCGCTTCAGCTGGTGGGTCAAGCTGTCTCCATGCAGGGTCATCAGCTCTGCGTAGTCCGGGTTGCTGTCTTTCTGCTTCTCTTCCCTCCTTGAGTTGTGCCTTTCATGTGGAAGCTTCTCTTATTCGGATCAGATCTTTATCAGTTTTGATGGAGCCTATAGTATTTCATCACCTGTGGAAATATACGCAAAACCTCTTCCTCAGTGTAACACTTTCCCTGGCTTCCATTCTGATGGTAAAACGTCTTTAAAGTACACAGGCTGATCTAATTCAGCAGTTTTTTCCCTACAATCCAGCAGCGTCTTTCAGATAATCATATTCCCCCTCTCTGTTTGTCAGGGTACATTAGATCTTTATGAGTCCACACTCACACTAGACTTTTAGGCACATGCATCCCATGCCCTGCTACATGCCACTGAGCCCAGCGGGCTCCATGCCAGTGAGCCTGGCAGGCTCCATGCCAGCGAGCCCAGCTACATGCCATCGAGCCCAGCGGGCTCCATGCCAGTGAGCCTGGCAGGCTCCAGCAAGCAGGGCAGGCTCCATGCCAGTGAGCCAGGCTTCTTACCCATTGTCAATGGGCTGACTATCTTGATCCTCAGTTTCATTAGGTACCCTGTGTTCATAATTAAGCACTTCCTGTTCTCTTCCTCTGTCTCTTGTCTCGTAAGCCTTTGTACTATCACAGCCAATTTTTCTTGTTGTACAGCTATTTTTTCTACCTCTTGTGATTTTTTTCTTGTTTCACAGTTATTTTTCAACATTTTCAGAGAGGAAGTAGATGCAGATTGTAGTTGAAAGTAGGGAGGGGCTTGCTCCAGTGGTCATAGCTGCAGTAAGTTGCAGTGTCTTTTTCAAGCAATGTCTCCAACCTCCACTCCCGTCCTGGCTATCAAGGGATCTGAAACGGAGTTTCCCATTTTTTTAATGCAGGAAAATCATTCTATATAATTAAAGTGTCTTTTGGGTGGCTTACTGTGGTTAGCTGTCTCAGGCTCCTGCATTGTTCCTTGCTCTAGGTTTTGAATCTCCCCTGCCTCTCAGGCCACCCAGACAAACTGTAAGAATGGATGCTTCCTCTGGAGACAATCCCAGATAAATGTCTCCTCTGAGGCCTTCTGTCAGGTGTCTCCTCTCGTCTGCAAAGCTTTTGTCAGATATCCTCTGATTTCTGCAATGTTGGTGGGCTTTCTCCTTCTCCAATTATGTTGTGTTTTCTTTCCAATCATGTTGAGGGACAGGTGTATAGGTATCCTTTATTTTCCTGATTTAATTCTTGTCTTAGAGGCTTACTCCCTCTGTCTGCTAACCTAGGTCTAGTCTGTACACTCTAATACAGACCTAGAATGTTTTCAGCCTCTGAGACTTACAGCTAAATAAGCTCACCCTTTCTACTTCTTTCTGAACTCTGGCTGGCTGGTTCAATTCAGCTGCCTGGCTCAAAAATCCTCTCCAAGCTGACTGATTCAAATTAGATTTTCTCAGCCTCTCACTGAATTTCAATGTTTGGCTTCATACTTACTTTGGCAATATGTTCTAATCTCTGGCTCCTTCTCATTCTCTGGCTTGTTCTGTCTTTACCTGTGTCTAGCTTTTTTTTTTTTCCCTCTGTGACTGTCTCTGTAAAACTCTCCTCTGTAAAACTGCCTCTGAATTCCATGAACTGTCACAAACTCAAACTACACTGCCTCTCAACTCATTGACTCAAATGCCTGAACAGAACTGACTAGAACTCAGAGATCTGCATGCCTCTGTCTCCTGAGTGCTGGGATTAAAGGCATGCACCACCAAGCCTGGACCTAAGCTTTTCTTTACCTGAAACTTGCTCTACACCAAGCTGGCCTTAAACCCGGATCTGCTTGCCACTGTCTCCTGGATTAAAGGTGTGTTTGTATTCCAGCCAGATCACACAGACCTAGAAGGTCTTTGGATATGCTCTCTTGCCAGGGCAGCCATGTTCTGAATTAAAATTCCTATCAAGTTCTGACTAATGAGTTTTCTTCATTATTGTTCTCTCTCTCTCCCCCTCCCTATAAAGGCACTGATCTCACCCACTTTTACCTTCAAGCAGAAGCAGCAATGAAGACCAACTTCTTTGGTACCCAGGCTGTCTGTACAAAGCTACTTCCTCTAATAAAACCCCAAGGTGAGTCTGGTGGTGATCTGCTCTGCCCTCCTGGGGTCAGCCTGGCATCTTTATTCCAGGTCCAGCTTCTTCTCCCCCTCCAACAGACCTCCCTGCCGGGCCTCCATCCTGTCACTGCTTCCCCATCACCGGCTGAGCTCACTGTGGTGTCATGATTTGTATATCTGCCCCATTTTCCTCCTTCATGTCCTGATTCAAAAGTCCATTAGTCCCATGCCCTCTGTGCGTCCAGGCCCTACAGTCTGAGTGGCCCTGCTTAGGCTTGTGCTTTCACCAGCACCTACCAACTGGACAGGATGCACCATCCAGAAAATTCTTCCACCTGCTTTGAGCACTTGCAGAACTCCCTTCTCCTCCATACATACATCCTTTCCCTTTCTACCTCCTCGTAACATACTCCCTCAATCCAAACTCCTCAGAGCACCCTCACCTCGGGGTCAGACCCTGAATGCTGCCTAAGAGTCCCCTGCCCATCAGCTCAGCTCTGCACAAGGCCCTCAGTTGCCAATGCAGGTACCAGGTCTCCTGGGCCTTTTCCTCTCCGCTCCTGCTGTCTGCATCGCTATTCCCCACCTAAAACCCTTCAGGGTGAAACCCAAGCCCATAGCACACTTTGTAGAGGTTACTCTACGCTGACTCCACTTTCCTCCAGGCTCATTTTAGCTTTCCAACGACCTGCATGTGACTTATCATATATACGCACAGGACAAACTATCATGTCTCTTTTATTATAAATTCTTCTAATAGTACAAATCAATTTGGCCAGTGAGCCAGCCTCTCTCAGGTGGCCTTCTCTGCAGGCCTCCCACCCCACTGCAGCTAGCCCCTCCTTTTCCCAAGGGGCAGGTTAGTTATGGTGACAGGAGCATAGAATGGGAGAATGGGTAAAAATAACTAGTGTGAATTCTTTTCCCCATTGGCCCTTCACAGAAAATATCATCTCAGTGATTCAATGGAGGCATCAAAGACATCTTCTGTGGACTGTGGGTGACACAGTTGTCTCTGTGTTATTGGGACATCAAGTTACCACTTTTAAAGTATCCACGTACAATTTAAACTTCTGCCCTCTGTCCCTGCCTACCCTCCTTGAAGATTCCAGCACTGCTCAATGCTCTGTTCTGTAGCTCTGGAGGGAAGCCCTTTTCAATGCTCCTTGCCTGTTCAGTCTGCCTCAAGCTTGGCTTGTGCTACCATGCTGTTCTCTGTGTGTTCTCCTCTTCAAACTCCCACTGCTGGCATCTTCTCAAGTGAGAACTTTCTGTGCTAAGTCCCCTGCTGCTTGGAACTCATCGCTTCTGTGCTTACATTTTGTATCTTAGGCCGAGTGGTCAATGTATCGAGCATAATAAGTCTCGAGGCCCTGAAGAACTGCAGCCCAGAGCTGCAGCAGAAGTTCCGAAGTGAGACCATCACAGAGCAGGAGCTGGTGGAGCTCATGAACAAGTTTGTGGGAGATACGAAGAAAGGAGTGCATTCGCAAGAAGGCTGGCCTAACAGTGCCTATGGGGTGACCAAGATTGGGGTGACAGTCCTGTCCAGAATCCACGCCAGGACACTCAGCCAGCAGAGGCGAGGGGAAAGATCCTCCTGAATGCCTGCTGCCCTGGCTGGGTGAGAACCGACATGGCGGGGCCCAAAGCCACCAAAAGCCCAGAAGAAGGGGCAGAGACCCCCGTGTACTTGGCACTTTTGCCGCCCGATGCAGAGGGGCCTCACGGGCAGTTTGTTAGTGAGAAAAAAGTTGAGCGATGGTGAGCCCAACTCTTTCCACATCCCCCTTTCTATCCTGTCTTAAAGTGATACAGAGTTCTAAGTCTATGAAGTTCTCTGATATCTTCAGGGAGAGAAAATAAAATTGTTGGCAATAATGAATGAAAATCAAGGCAAACAAAGTGATTCTTTAAGTGTGTTCATTTACTGTGGGGGTGTGTTTGTGTATGTTAGACATTTGAATGCATGCATGGTATGTACATAGAAATCAGGAGGAAACTTTAGGTGTGTGTGCTCTGGTGAGTTCCCTCTTTTTTATTTTTAAGATAGAACTGTGACAGCTTTAAAACTATTTCTATTAATCTTTTGAGAATTTCATACATGCATACAATGTATTTTGATTCTATTCATCGCCTGCTTCTCCCCCTTATTTCCCCAAGAACCATCCCCATTTCCCCCCTCCCAACTTTATGGATTTTTTGTTTTTGTTTTAGTTTTCCTTAGGTGTTTTTGTTTTGATTTTTCTGCTGCTCCTGCTGTTATTTAAACAAGCTTGGCTGACCTACCAGGGGAACATTCTTAAAGAAAGCCGACCCTCCTCCGCACAGAAGCTGTCAGCTGTCAACAGCTCCTCAGTGAGGGAGGGGCGGCAGCTTATGGGAGCCTCACACTCTTTCTGGAATGCTGTCTTCCTGTGGGCGCTCACAGCCGCTGTGGGTTCAAAGTGCAGCCATCCTGTCATGCTCAGAAGACACCGATTTGCTCTGGTCTTGCCCAACCTCCGGCTCTCAAAATCTTTCTGCCTCTTCTTCATTAGTGGTCCCTAAGTCTTGGGGGGAGGAAAGGGGCGATACAGCTACCCTTTCCGCTGATGAGCGCCCATGCACACTTACTCTCTGCACTTTGGCCAGTTAGGAGTTCCTTTATTTGCCGTTATCCACTGCACAAAGAAATCTATCTGATGAAGTCTGAGAACTAAGCTAATCTACAGGTAGAGAGGCACAAATTTAAACATCAGTCACACACTATCTCCAGTTACCAAAATAACAGTAGTAAGTTCAGGGGCTAGAGAGAGGCTCAGCAGTTAAGGGCACTGGCTGCTCTTCCAAAGGAACCAGGTTCAAATCCCAGCACCCACATGGCAGCTCACAACTGTCTGTAACTCCAGTTTCCATAATGTCCACACTTGCACAGACATACGTGAAGGCAAAACACAAATGTAAGTAAAATAAAACAATTCTTTAAAAAAGTAATAGGTTCAACCTTGTGGGCTGTGAGTCTCCCAACCACAGGTGCTTGGCCAGATTCCTAGGCGCGGGTTTCCTTCTGTGCAGCAGGTCTTCAATCAGCAGCTCTCAACACTAGGTCACAGCCTGTGGAGTCTCCACTTATCAGATCTCCTGCAGATCAGATAAGTACATTACGCTTAACAGCAGCCAAATCACAGTTCTGAAGGAGCAATGAAAGGATTTTATGACTGGGAGTCACCACAACATAAGAAACTGTATTAAAGGGGCACAGCATTCAGGAGGCTGAGAACCACTGCCTTAAATCCAGAAAGCAGTGGATAACCCCAAACATCCGTGCCACTATTACACCTTCGGGCATACCTTGCTTCACTCGGCTCACACTGAGGTGAGACTGTCAACGACTTTTCTACCACCAAGTTCTGGGAGGGAATCAAGAGCAGTGCAATATCCTGAATTGTTTGGGGTCCAGGATGGCTCCAGGGGACCTATCCCTTGCTTGGAATCCTGCCTCCGACCTCTCCTCACTCAAACCTCTGTCTTAGCCAGTGTTCTATTGCTGCTAAGAAACACGTGACAGGAGCAGCTCTCGTAAAGGAAAGCACTTGCCTGGGGCTTGCTTACAGTCTCAGGCATTTAGTCCACTGTCGGTCAACACGGGAAGCATGGCAGCACACAGGCAGACAGCATGGTGCTAGAGAACTGAGGGTTCTACAATCAGCAGAAAGAGGGAGACACTGCGCCTGGCTTGAGCTTCTGAAAACCCCAAAGGCCACGCCCACTGACAGACTTCCTCCAATGAGGTCACACCCACCCCAACACTGACCGTCTGCATGCATGTGTTCACCCTGATTTCTCCACTCTTACAGTTCAATAGCCCCTGCCCAGAGAATTGTTGATAGCTGCTGCGTCCTGGTACTCTCTTCATCCCAAGAGTGCTGCTCCCTAAACTAAGCATTCAAATCTATGAGCCTCTGGAGGCTATTCTTGTTTAATCGACCACGGCCTCCCTCCTCACGATCCCCCCTTTCCCTGTCACATCACCTGTATTCCATTATGTCCCTCCAATAAGATTGCTCCCTTCCCCGACACCAGCCCTTTCCTAGTTTTCTGTATTCTCCGGGTGCTCCGAGCATGCCAAGATCCACATGTGAATAAGAACACACGACGCTTGTCTCTTCTGTCTGGCTCACTCACTCATTCATTATGAGGTTTCCAGTTCAATCACTTTACCTGCAAATTTTATAGTTTCATTTGATGGTCAGCTTTAGCTGTCAACTGGACACAACGTAGAGTCTCCCAGGGAGAAAGACTCAAGGTGGGATTGTCTACACTGGCTTGGCCTGGGCGGGGTGGGGGAGATAGTCCTAAGTTACTTGAGGAGGAAAGACTCAGGACATGGCAGCTGTCAACTAGACAAGGTGGAGATCAGGCCAAGGACAAACAGGTATGCATTCCTTTCTCTCTCTTCAGTGCCATGTGTTAGAACTAGCTATTTGAAGTTCCTGCCTTGGCTTTCTCGTGGTGATGGATTGTAACCTGGAATTGTGAGGTCAAAAACACTCTCTCTCCCCCTCAAGATGCTTTGTGTCAGAATATCTTATAACAGCAACACAAATGAGGTCAGAACAAGGGTTTCCTTGGCCTGGATTTCACCTGTATTGCAGGCTAGCTGGCCACTTGGCTTCCAGGAAACTTCTCGCCTTCAGTCATTGCTGGGATGACAGACTTCCACCCCAAGCCCAGCTTTTCACTGGAATCTGAACTCAGATCCTCACGCTTGCCAGGCAAATGCTTTACACACTGAGATAACCATCTTACACTCTAAGTGTATACCGCCTTTGACCTACCCTAACCCTAGCAACACCTCCAGACTGTCTTCAAGTCGACCAGCTCCATCTCAAAGGTTCAGTACTGCAAAGGTTAGCTCAAAGGAAGATAGAATGTATCTCAAGGCTGGTACACACAGAAGGAGCCAAGCAGTAATAATTTGTTTTGTCGGTTCCGTTTTCTTTTTTAAATTGGCAACAAGATAACACGTCTTGTTAGGTTGTCACCATCCACATGCAGCTCGTGCTGCATTGCTGTCAACCCCCCTCTCACGTATTTGTGTCTCCTGCTTCAGTCCTGAATCCACCAATAAAAGGTGTGATATATGTCTTTCTGAGCCTAGCTTCTGTTGCTGACCAAAATGAGTTCCATCCATTTCCTTGCAAATGATATCATATTTCTTTATAGGTGGATAAAACTCTGTTGTGTATGCATACCACAGCATAATTATGAATTCATGTGTTGGTTGACTTCTAGACTAAGCACACATCTCTTGGGTGCTGTGAACAGCCATGATTAGCATTAATGTGCAGAGTTTGTGGTGTATTTTCTTTGGTCCCATGGCTATTTACCCAGGGATGATACAGCTGTACCATATGGTAGTTTTGTTTTTTTATTTATTTATTTATTTATTTATTATCTTCACACTTCCATGGCACTATTTACCAGCAACCTCTGTTGGTATAATGTTCTTTTAAAATGTATACACCTTACCCTTGTTCATTCAAATGCTGATTTCCACCCCCCACTCTCTGGTTTCAATCCGGATATTGCATTGTGATACTCATTCTAAGCATCCTGTCTCAACTTGGTGTAAACTTCCAAATAAAGCAACTAGACACAATGTTGAGCTGGGAGGAGCCAAAGGACAGGAAAGAGGGGAGGAGCTAGAGGGCAGGAAGTGAGTGGGAGGAGCTAGAGGGCAGGAAAGGAGTGGGAGAAGGGGCAAGAGGAGAGCTTGGAGATGAAGCTGGAGGAGAGGTTTTGGAGGACGTGGAGCATGAACCAGACCTAAGATTTCACAAAAGGCAAGTATAATGTGGGAAATCTAAATGTTAGGAAACTATGAGGGCTTGGAGGTTTAGGATGGAGTAACTATTGCCCAGCATTGTGTTCTAGGTAACTAAATAAACCCAGTCTCTATGTGGTGATTTGGGTATACAGCTGTTTAGGACTAACAGCAGCGTTACTAAAAGATAATTATTAGTAAATATTAATCACCACTTACAACAAACCTCACTGAAGGGTCCTTTTCCCTCAGCAGAACCTTTTCCTTGGTGATAGCCATGTTGGCTAGAGCAAGATGGAGAACCCATTCAGTTGAGTGCAGTTGAGTGTTGTTCTTAGACCGACTCTTACTAGGGTGAAAATGACTATCAGTGTAGTTTTAATTTCTATTTCCATGATGGCTAAGGACATTGAACATTTTTTTTGGTGTATGTATTGGTTATTTGTGCTTTTATTGGGAACTAGCTGCTCAAGTCACTTGCCTGTTTGTTGATTGTAGTATTTGGGTTTTTGCTTTTGAGTTCAACATGTATTGTAGTTATTAAGTTCCTTCACTGTGGTTTCTTTTGTTTATTGTGGGTGCATGGTATTGTTTTCTGGGCTATTGGAGCCCTTTTCAGAAAATCTTTGTCCTTCCCTATGTTTTCAAAACTGTGGACCTTAACTGTGCTTTTCCCTGACAGCTTCAAAGTGTCAAGTGGTATTGTATTTGATACATTAATTGATTTTTAATTAATATTTTTATTTTGTTTTCAGCTCAAAAATCAAATCAATGAACGTGTAAGGGAATAGTGCTCATTACAGTGAGAAAGTTTAAAGTTTAACACAAAATAATTTAGAAAATAGGTTTAATTTTGTGTTATGTTCAAAGGAAATGTAAGTTTGGAAGGTGCTAGAGCAACTTCATACTTGCTTAGTGATTGTAGAATTTACTCTTTGCCTTATTTTTTACATTTCATT